AAAGGTAAAGTTGACATGGCTTTGCTATACTTATATTACTAAAGATTCATACAGCTGGCATTGTGGTATTGAAACAATTGTTATGTCTGTCTATATCCTAAGTCTTGTAGTTCTTGAAGATGGACAAACCTAGATCTTAAATGGGTCAGGTTCTGTGGGGTAGTGACAGCAGGTTTTCTCCTCCAGAAGAGCATCAGTCCAAAGGATTGCAAAGAGGGTTGGCATGGAGGGGCTTGATGGTGGCCCTGAGTAAGGGTGTAGACGTGCACTAAAATCCCCTGATTTGGTGGAGGGAGAATTTCCCAGGCTCAGTGATGTCAGGGTGTCTTCCAAGTGTCCCCAGTGGGTGGGTTGAGCTGGAGATGGGGCTGCTGTTGCGGGGGGCTCACTGGGGATGAAGCTGCGTATCGCAGCACTGTCACTGTCGAGATTTGGGGAAGCTGCTGTGCCAGGCTTGCAGGGGCTGGTTATACCACACTGGGATCTGCTCCAGCCCCTGGGGAAGTGCAGAGTCAGGGTGGTGCAAAGGTACTTTGGCATACAGAATTGAGGCCAGTCACACCAGTGCATGCCCATGTGCTCACATAGGCCTTGTGCGGATGATGACCTGGGTGATGGTCTCTGTAAAAATACTTTCAGAGGACAGAGGAGCATCCTAAGCCTAGTGGAGTCGCATCACTTTACAGTGCTTCTGCCTTTTCCTCTGACCAATATTGGTTTAAGATTCCCTCTGCACAGGGCTTGGACATGCTGGCTCATGGCAGATACGCTCATTAAACAGCTTTATATCTTCAGCAGGTCTGATGGGGGCTGGGGCGGTGTGGGTGCTAAGGACCATGGTTGACAGCTCAGAGGTTGCAAGTTTGAGGCCACAGCAGAAGGCCTCACGGTATGGCCTGTCTGATCACACTGCATCTGTGAATGCTGCTGAATACCTTGTCACAAGGAAGGAAAGGAAGCAGGCCTGAGAGCACCAATATCCATCTCAGTGTGGTCTGGTTTGTTCTTGCTTGAACATCTTCATGCCATTTTCTCAGGAGGTTGATTAGGAAGGTGCAAGGATCTGCACCGAGTGGTGTTTGGTGACAGGAGTGTGTGTGCTTTTGTGCTGGGCATTATGCTTCACAAAATTTCCACTGCCAATATAACTTTTTAATGTAATTACTTCAGCATTTCTATTGTGGCAGCCACAAGAGGTGGCAGGCAGGGCAATATTGTGCAGAGGGAATCGGTGTAGGCTCAGGGAAGCCTGGGCTCTGGCCACAGCTCTGACACTGGCCTGCTGTGTGGCCACCGGTGAGTCCCTTCACCTCTTTCCAGCCGAGTTTCCCCATTTGTAGTACGGGGTTGACAGTACTGGCCTGCTCAGTAAAGTGCTTTGCAAGCTAGGAGTGCAGGATATCAGCTGAGTTGGATTATTACAGGCCAAACAAAAGCACAGTGCAAAGCTATCTGAAATCCTGCTTCATCCTTCAGCTGTGCATTTCCTTAGCTGCTATTTTGATAAGGTTTTGTAGCGACAATGATATTCCTTTCTGCTTCTGATTTCTAGTGTCTGCTTGAACTAGTTGATCATGAAAGCTTGCTGGATGGCTCTCCTTGGGCCTGGGAAACCTTTCACCGCAAGGCTGCAGAGGCAGCAACCTAGCCAACTTCCTCTGGGGAAACATGGCAGCATGCTCGAGTGTGGAGACCCTCTCTCCTGCTTCTACGCACACACACATGCATGTGCACACACGCATGTGCACACACACATGTGCAGTGAGAGAAAATCTGGCCGGTTTCTGTGGCCAGTCTCTTTGGAGACTGCTGGCAAGGGTACCGGCTGTGACTGGTGGGTGGTGGAGGAGGAGTTGTATAAAAACCTACCCTTAGGTCCTACTGTGAAATCTCCCCATGCCTCCAAAAATCATCATGTGTGCAACTGAATTCAAATTTGATGCTAATGGCATCTTGTGGGTAGATTTTTTTGATCTCACTTCAAGAAACAGAATGTTTCCTATGTCAACTAAACTGTGTTGGACATGCTAGTGTTTTTAATCAGTGGTCCACATCCATATGAAAGTCTCTGTTTTTGAAACTATCATTCACCATAGAGCAGGACGTCACGCAGTCCTAAGGGAGATCTGATGCTGGGTTGCTTTTTTCTGCCGTCACTGAAGCTTGCAGGAGTGCTGCTGCTGCTGTCTCGGCGTCCCGCATCTCCACAGCGTGGTCGTTAAAGGGCTCACGAGTCGATGTGGACAGTGGTTGGAAGTTGGCTCCCCAAGAAAGCAAAGGGTCAGCAATGGGTTCTCCAGCATTGACACCCAGTCCAAAGGGATCCCATGCATCCTTCTGGAGTTGGGGCTGCAGATCGAGCTGTTGTAGCGGTTGGTTGCTCTGAATTTCACCAGTAAGTTGAATAATTTGACCCTCCTCTGCTAGGTCATGTTTTTGCCTTGGATTTTCCTTGTGCGGTTCTAAGGTGCTTACATTGAAAGACAGTTGTTTCTTACCCTGTGAATTTTGCAGGGCTCTTTCAGGTGGGAACTGGGCATCTGTGTCATTGATGCCAGGAACTGTTTTGCTTATGTTTGTTGAATTGCTGTCTGCTACAGGCAACAAGAGGTTATTGGGCTCTAAAAGATCCCTGCCTCCTAAGCAAAGCTCAGATTTCTCACATGATTCCTTGAAGTGGTTCGATGAAGACAAGGTTTCATCCTTTAGTGCCAAGTCGTGATCACCCAAGCCCGTTAGGTTTTGTTTTTCATGTAGACATGCATCATGGAGACTTTCTTCACTGGTGAGACTTAGGCTAGTGTCATCTGGGGTAATTGGTGCCAGAGGAGACTGTAAAAGGCCAGTTCTGCCTTCGAAGGTTTCTGGAGCTCCTTTCAGAGATGCCGTTGACAGAACTGCAAGCAGACCGCCATCGCCATGCTGCTGTAGAGACTGCGCGTTGAAATCAGGTTGGCTTTCAACTCCAAGACCAGGGACCTCATCAACATTTCCAGGACTGGCCGGACTGCTTTCACCAGGCATCAACACAAGCACCTGGGTCTCTAAGACCTCAGTGCTGCTTAAATGTGGAGGACTCTCTCTTTGCGCAGATCCCACATGGGCCCCTGAGTTTTGCTTTGTATTTTTGGAAGTTGCCACAGCTCTTCCAATGGGAGCTACAGCCTCATCCTCGGAGGCCTTTTGCCTTGATGAGGTTGAGTCGGTGATCTGTGACCATGATTCTCCATCATTTTTTTCCTCTGAAAGCTTTGGTGAGGGTTTTGGGGTAAGAACTCCCTTTTGATTCTGTTCTTTATCTGGGCAATAGCCAAATAATGTGGCCAAGGCAGACTGGGGCTTTGTGGGTTTCTTTCTCCCTTTTAGCTCTTTCCTTGGGGTGCTGCTTTTATTTTCAGAAGCAAAAAGCCTAGCAAAGTAATTTTTCCCCAGACTGGAAGCTTTTGCTGGTGGCTCTTTTCCAGGCTCTCCATTTCCGGTGTCTTTGGTTTGGGGAGCACTAGCAGGTAAGTGCGACTCACCTTCGTACTGAGGTTTCACACCCACAATACCATTTCCAGCTAAATGATATTCAGGTTTCTCTGATGATTCCTTCGATTTCAAAGGTTCAAGCATCTCGCTGGGTGGCTCAGAGACAAGAAGGATGCTCCCTCGCATGTCATCTGGACCCCGTAACTTGAGCTTGGTTCCTTCTTTTCCAGTTGTCTTGTCATGCGAGTCCCCTGTTGCACTGACTGCTTTTGGACGCGTGTCCCCTGGTTCTGACTTGTCCTTAGCAGACAATGCAATACTACCCGGCAAAGCATCCCCTTGCAGGCCGTCTGCTAGTGGGCCGCACATGTATTGAGATTCTGCCGCTTGTAGGCAGGTTGCAGTCTCATCCCCTGTAATCTGGGCCTGTGCACATGGAGAAATGGCTCTTTCTTCAGGTTTACTTTCCTGAGATCTATGCCCAGGACTATATTTCAGGATCTTGTAGGACTCTGATGTGCTCTCCGGCTGCATTTTGTTCTCAACCCCTGGCTCGCTGCTTTTAATTCCAGCCAACACGTTTTCCCTAGATCCTTGCAAGTTTGTCTTGGAAGGTCTTGGCATAAGCACTCCAGGGAGCTCTTGGCTGGCCGTCTCCGAATCCTCATTGACCTGCTCAGCTGCCTGGTACAACTGAGCCAAAACATCAGGCTCGAGTGAACTGACCTCCGTGTGAGGTGTTGCTGGTTCCTCGGAGAGGCATGGAGCTTCATCACTTTGGACAGCATCATGCTCAGCTACGTATGTCTGGGCTCCAAAATGGGAGGAAAGAGAGCCCTCAGCCCTGCTTGGGTGGTGGGTACCTCCGCATGGTGGCATGGTTTTGACGCTGCCTACTTCAGCCTCTCCTGCTACATGAGCGGCCAGCTTACCACTGCTCCCTTCTTGGGGGTGCTGCCTGTCCTGTGGGGTAGATACGGTGGGTGGTGGCTGCCCTGGCAGGTTCCCTGTCACTTGGGGAAGCGGTCTGGTGCCCCGACTGCTCAGAGTTATAGGTCCTGC